AGACAGTCCCCTTTGTCGGGGCTGCTTTAAAGCTGAAGAAACGGCGGCTCACGTAATCCTGGAGTGCACGGCAGTGGCCCAACAACGAAAACAAATCCTCGGAACGGTGAGGTCGCTCCGTGAAGCCTGTGAAGATACCAGGAGTCTTCTGCGCTTTTGGGAGGAGCTTGGCTGGCTACTTTAGTAGTCTGGCTCTGCACGCACAACGGCCCGAATGAGAGGCTAATTGCGGAGACTGGAGTCCAACATACATTTCATTTATATTAATAGGTAGATGCTTGAACACACGACACTCACAATTACAGTAAACTTAATATAAATTTAACATAAACAATAAAAAACACACCCAACAGAAAATACAATTAAAACATTACTATGAGTTACCAAAAAAAAAGCAGAAATGATTTTACCATATTTTTGTAGTATATGAAAAGTTACTTATGTGTGTGTATGTGTATTGATATAAGTGTACATACAAAGTACAAAATAATGCTATAAATTATATGCGTATATATACATTAGGGATGTAACGGAGGTAGTTTTATCGGAACCGAAGTCGGAGTCGGAGTTTTTAAATTTGATTTACTGGAATCGGAATCGGAGTCGGAGCCTGCCTCCGACTCCGATTCCGATTCAGTCAGAAGTGGTGGCATGAGAAAGAATTTTTATAATTTTATAAAGCATTCTTTAATCATTTTTTTTTTAATTATAAAATAAAACACAAGCAGTAAAAAAAATTAGCATATTATTTCCATCACAAAATTAGCATATTTATATATATCACAATCTAACAATGTTCGCACACACAGTTGCAACTGATGTACAGTGCAACTGACATCAGGTATGTCGCCGAGTTCCATTACTCGTGTCATATTAGATCCAGAGTCGCGTACAAAACAATGAATTTTCTCTTTTCGACGACTTTTAGTCTTCTCTTTTCTCTTTGACGATTGAGTGCACGTAGCGGAGGTCGGCGGGATTCCCCGCGCGACATGTATGAACCTGTTCATAACAGTCGACACAGGCCGCCTTCGCCGCTATGTTATGCTTCGACTTCCGATTAAAACCTCCGATTTAAAAGTGTCGGAGCCGAAGTCGGAACCGAAGGTGTAATAATAATCGGAAGTTCCGACTTAACGGAACCGGAGTCGAAGCTCCGTAACATCCCTGATATACATATACATACAACAGTATAGTATATATAAAGATAAGATCTAAAAATGTACACGCAAACAAAATCACGGATACAATTAGTATTTTATTTGATTTGAGGTATTTGTTTTATCCATCCCTTTATATATATATCTATGGATAACCCCAAGAGAACAATTCCTGTCGACTCCGGTTGCCTAGTTTCTGTGTTAGAGAATCGAATATCAATAGACGCTATACATTATGCATGATTGATGTATGATTAATGCATGAACTCCATATTGATTCAGGCTTACACGTCATACAAATTATTTTATGGTTAGGCCAATGATATAGGCTTGTACTAATAACCAGAGCACGATTAAGGTTGAGAGGGAACACTATGTACTACAATAAAGAACTCATTGTTCTACAAATGAGTTAGGGTGTGAGTGAGTGAGCTGATGAGTGAGAAGCTTTCTCCCGCGTACACCTAGATGGTTTTCTCGAGACTACAGCATGGGCTTTTCAAGAAGGGTATAAGGTTTCTTAAGGGTACGCGACGCGCACGTGACACCCCTGGTGTTTCAGGCGTCCATAGGCTACGGCAACCATTTACCACGGCACAAATATTTGTATTCAGAAGCAGAATTGTTTGAATCGGTCTGGGTATTTTCTATTTATAACTAACAGTACTTGCGACTTCGCTGCGTGGAATTTAACTTTATTTTTCTAAAATAAAAGACTTTTTCTTATAATAAACCTAAGTTACTCCTTATTACATCAACTACATGCCATTAAAAGTCCCGTCAAAATTGGTTCAGCCATTTCAGAGATTAGCCTGAACAAACAGACAGACAGGTACAAAAATTGTAAAAAATATTATTTTGGTGTATGTACCGTATGTACCATATGCATGTAGTAAAAAATGGTCATTTCAGTATTACAAACAGATACTACAATTTTATTTATAATAGATATGTATGCATTTACAAAAAAATGTTCATGTATTTATGTCCTAGTACCCATAACGCAAACTCTACTTAGCTTGGGACTATATGGCGCTTTGTGAATTGTTCTGAGATACTATTATTATTACTATATAACAATAATGCACACCCGTGCAAAATCGAAGTGGGTTGCTAGTTTGAATATAAACTACACTTAATACAATGAATTTTACCGTTCAACGGGTTCGAACCCGGATACCAAAGCAAAACAATTTAATTAACAGCTACCCGGCGGAATTCGTCAATTTGTAAACAAAGAGTCCTTATTATTGCATTCAAATGAAATTCTTTTTCGTTCATTTCAATTTGATTTGATGCGCTTCAGAAACAAAGCCCATTTTATATTCCTTCATCGAATTGGAAACAGTTGAAAGATATACATGGTGTTTGTAAAAAAACTATCGAATCCATTAACATCGCTTTAATTGATGAATATTAAAGAAGCCTATATACTACTCCATCTCAAATGCTATACATATGCCAAATTTCATCATGAGTAAGCTCTTTATAACATACAAGAAACAAACCAACGACCAAATTGACTCATTTCTTACTAACCCACTCACATTCACACATACTCACTTTTTATACTAATTAATTAATTTATTCTACTCACAAATGAAAGAAGAAATGAAATCACTACATATTTGCCACAAAATCTTACTACGAGCGTCCGGTAAAGCAAAAGATGCTGATACGGTCGACTGCACCATTTCTATAATGTTAGGTAACCAAATCTAACTTTGATGCATATATATGTATTCATATTGTATTATAATTAATATTACATGTACAATAAATATACATCATACAGTATACACATATAATATATTCTAGTCACAAACGAACGAAGAAACGAATTTACTACATATTTGTCACAAACTCACTCTTATACTCATACTCACTCACTCACTTTATCCTCATCAATCAATATATTATATCCTACGCGATTGTAGTCCGAGGTTAAATCAGCTAGTCCGATTATAAATATCAAAATAATTAGTATTCCTTGTCGAAATCATACCCATACCCTTTTTTTAAACTAAAAGCGGGCCTTTTCCAAATTATTTCTATGTCAGCCTTGATATCCATTCGTCTGCTACAGTGCTACCCAATCTTACAATCCCACGGGTCGCATTTGCACGCATACGAAAGTAGAGAGGGGCTGTGATCAGACTACTATATCCCTGTTATACGACTATATACTTCATAGAATATGAATAGCACTATGGAATTTTCATTATTTGATGGCCTCATTGGTGTAATGATTGGCAAGGCGTCAATTGTGACATCGCTATGGTCCCGTATTCGATTATATCCTGTATTAATTTCTACTAATAAAGGTAAATTTTGTGAGGTTGTCAAGAGAGAATAATAATATCTGGATGTACTAAACCGACTTTGAAAATTGTTTAGTTTGATAGCCCATTTATCGAGGATATGTAGTATATGACTATGCGCTTTGACCAAAAGGAACGGAGCTGTAATGAAGTGTTACAACAGTAGACCTAGTTGCGCGGGTTATCTAGTAAAAATAATTTTATAAGTAGTTACTCTCTCTAACTTATTACAGGTTTTCCTAAATAAACAAATGAATTAAGATTACTTAAAAACAACTTAACTATAAGGATGTAAAATATAGCGCGTTCTAAAAATTTAACAACACCATCTAGAGACGAAATGTAAAAACAAAATTTATAAAAGAAGATTAAATATAACACAAGAAAAATTAGTATGAAAATGAAAACTGAAATTAACGGCCGCCACTGCCGCTGTTTACGCAAAGCTTACGCCCTGAAGTTGTGAATAACTGGCTTAATATACAACATACAATATTTCATCCGCAATGCCTTTGACATAATATGAGTTTTGCGGAAAAAGACCCGCTCGTTTGCCGTCGCTGCGTTACAGGCGGCTGTCTCATTGAATGATATTGGCGATTTGTCTTCAAAAGGAGCCTTCAAATTTGGTGTTACTTCTTAACTAACAACCTGCCAAACTGAAGAGGAAACGCCACTACACATCCTATATGGTTGTAGCCCATTCATGCATAAACGTAATCTCCTTTGGAAAGTTTACACTCTATCCTGAGGAGATAAAAACCATCGCTCTTAAGAATATCCTTCAATTCTTGTCCCTGATTCTTGACGGGTTAGGTAGCGAACTCTAAAAATCATACTACCCTGTAGTATCTATCTACCCAAATGCCATACTACCCTGTAATTTGACTACCGTATCTCACCTTTCATTTCGAAACAAAATTTACGTTTACATTACTCAAATTTGCGGCTAAAATAGACTAAACAGATATGACAATATCAACCTTGGTAAAAAAATACATTTTAGAATTTTTATTTTACAGTAATTTTAAATTCTTACATGAAAAACGACTTGAGAAGTATAATATCACCTAAAGCACAATTGATCTATGTAGGTCGCAGGGCTACAGATCCAAGCATCTGACAATAGCCCAAATAATCCAATAAAAAAACCTAACAACAACGAAGCAATAGCTCCGCTAGATTAGAAAATAAACACTATATTTTATTTCATTAAGCTTGTTACATATCCACAGCCTTATGGAAAAGTGCTGAAGCAACAAATAATGCGGGACGAGGAATGAACGAGGCCGCAATGTCACAATTTCAATATAGTAATTGGACAGTTATTTGAAATATTATTAATATCATATTAAATCTGTAAAACGATGACTATTACGTTGTATACGATGACACATTCGTTCTAGCATCGAACGTTGTCACTCGTTTTTAGCTATAGTTAGTAACACAAAATGTAGTATTGTATAAACAAATTTAATAACTGTTAAAATAATTTGGTTTTCTTTATGCTCGCTGGATGCTACCATAATTTGCTGCTTAATAGTGAAATTATAGGTTTTCGTTTAGGATCAGACAAGGACACCTGAATAAGTAAACAATGTTAACAAACTTTAAATAATAAAAGAAATTCAGTTGAACTCAACTAAACTGGTCGGTAGGGAAAAAATAATAATACTTTATAATGAAAATAGTGAAAACTAGTCACAACCATTGAAATTTCAGATGGTCATTTGTATTTGCGGTCCTTTCTATCTTATCAGTAACTTCGTGAGTCAGAATGTGATGGATATATTTTATTTACTAGCTATTTTAATCCATTTCATATTACTTTAGCTATTGTTCTGAGGTTGTTGCCTTCGATCGTATGTAATTAGAATCTTAGATATTTCACACACGTCTGGTGTAAGTCCCAACGGATTTAGGCGAGTTTAGACCATGTTTTTGTTAGAAATTGTTCTATCTTAACTGCTGTTATTACAGCTTCACACGTTTAAGATTCTGTATTGACAAGAAGTATTAAACTTCTTAAATTAACTGTAAACCTGTAAACGTTTTGCTCTAAACGGGCATTCGCCGAATTCCTTGCACCATCTTCTTAGTTTTTTTTATTTATTTCTTTGATATACATTTTATTATAAAGAATAGTATATATATATATATATAGTTCATGCTTGTTAACACTTTATACATATTTATACACACAGATACATGACATAATTAGTTTTAGTAGAAACATAATTAGTTTTAGTAGTAGAGGCGAGACTCTGACAGAGTACCTTGATCTGAACCTACATCGCCCTTACTGCTACATCGCCCTCATACAGACAGTTTCTTTACACGACCCGAATTTATTCATCCTAACGATAGGATGAGACGGCTTCATGTTATATTTACCTAACACCAGCCAGGTAAGAGATGATTTTCTCAGCTTAATAGATATATTGCACGTCTATCTTATAATTCTTAATAAAACAGGCTTCATTATAATCGGATTGGTTGTTGTTTAACCTTCAGAAATGATTAGGAATTGCGTAAATTATTTTGGCAGGAACTGCGTAATTCAGTTTGGCGTGTATTTCCATGTAACATAAGGTAAATTAAAGATTTTTATAGCATAGGGGACAAACGTACTTGCGGTTCACCTGATGGTAAGTGATTACCGTCGTTCATGATCACCCGGTGGAATAGCAAGTGCTTTGCCGGTCGTTTAATAAGGAACACTTCATTGGATGCTAGCAGCTCAGCACCGATCGTCGTTGAGATATTTGGCCTTTGTTCAGCAGAGGACGTCTTCCGGGCTGAGATGATAGAACACTTCTTGAAAGTTTTAATATAATATCGGTTCGTAAATACTATTGCTGGAAGGTGATTCCACAAAGTGTTATGCGTGACAAATAGTAATGAAAAGAAAAATGCACGATGCACGACCGTTATTCATCGAGATGATCAGGATGTTTTTAATTCCAGGCGATGGAATTCAGCAGATGGTAATAATCCTAACAATTTCTCAGAAAACTACATGATATATGTGGTAAAATCATTTTCTATATCCCTCCGCGAAACCAATGGGTTGAGTGTATCACAAAGATGTTTTTTATTTAATTCTTAACTTTGTAGAGTGGAGAGAAGTAAGATATAATTGATTATATTGAATTTACCGAGCCTATACAACCCTAATCGTCCCAAGGGACATACAAACACTCAATACACTTATCATTTGTTTGAAACAAGTCGTATACAGTATACACTAAAGAGGGAAACTTCTTCCAAATGACAGCTCTGAACTTTACGAGTTTCAAGCACAATATGGACACACACCTCACGTGCCGTCAATAAACCAGAGCAGTAGCCGTATTAGGCCTATAATAACTTATTGCTATTACTATATTAACTCGATTTAATATCACTTTTAACCCTATATAAAAAGTATTAATTCTAACTCAATATTCGGACGAAGTTTTACTTTAATTCTTCTTCAAGATATTATACATTTAATGAAATAAAAATATTTTAATAATATTTTATTATTTTAGAAATTCTGTACAGTTACATTCTTGGGATGGCTTTTCTAGGCACGATATCTAAAATAGTTAAAAATATTAAACATAAAATACACAGCTAAATGCAGTTTTAGTGATTTTTCATAATTATATATATAATATATATATATATATATATATATATATATTATGTATATAAATAAATAAAAATTTTTGTAACTGTTAATCCATAATGCACATAAAAAAGTACTTTCATCTAAATGTGTATATGTACATATAATTTGCATGGAAGTGAAGATCACAAAGGAATTTCTCAATTCTAATGTAAAGAAAAGAAAACAGACTCCACGCAACAAACAAATGAAGTCACAATTAGAATTTTCGAATCGACTTCAAAGTTAATAGAGAAAGATGGTACGGGCCACGCTGCCATAAGTAATTAGCCGACCGAAACTTGTCTACGACTTGTCCAAAACAATAGCGGGGACTAACGATAAAATATCGTTATAGCTACTTTAATGTCCTGCGCAACACTTGTTCTTATTAATGTAATTTATTATGGTATACAGACTGCAGTTGTTAACATAGATGGTGAAGTGGACGCTGTATGCTTGATGTTAGCTAGTAACATGTTTTATGTCCAAAACTTCAGGAAGTTTAAAGATAAATATCCAGTCACCATAGATGAGTCTATAGTATAGAAGAGTCTTAAGACGCTTTTACACCTGTAGTTTTTACTTATTTTGTTAATTCATTATTATCCACAGACATAACCTCTATGTCTTGGTTAAATTCAATAATTCATTATGCTGTATTCCAGAACACATCTAAAAAACTGGGTTTTTCCAATTTAAACATAAAATTAAAATTAGACTCAATTTTAAATCAAGTCATGTTGAAAATTGACAATTACTGCATTTTACTGTAGGTCTCCGAAAAGGGACTATTTTAAGCGAGGGCTCTGCGTCTGGTCTAGTATTGCGGACTAGTTCTTGGCATTCCGAGGCCATCGTACAGCCCTCTCTGTTCCCGTTTTGAATTCTATCATACCCTTAGATTTTACTTACGTACACGTAAGACACTTAAATTACTATCACATATTCAACTTATGATGAAATTACAACTTACGACAATAAAAAAAATAAAACATTTTATTTGTCTGTGTAATTGCATTAATAACAACTTATGTACTCATATAATCCAAACACGCAATAAAACATTCCTATTTATTCAGGAAAATGTAGATAACAAATATCCTAAATATGTATACCAGTACTATACAATTTACTTAATTGTCCCAATTTTAATATTAGATGATATGGCCATGGTTTATTTATTATATCTGGAGCAAAAGACATCCATATGCCACAAGTGAAACACACAGCACACGAATAAAACACAGATGTCCTTAAATGAATAGATAAAATAATTGTACTTCTATGGCTCACTGAAAATATCCACATAATTTGTATGTTGCCAACGGCACTAACATTCGTAAAAATATTATTATATAATTATTCTAATTGACATCCGTTGAATTAAATATCGTAGAAAATAACGAAAGAATACCGTCGAATTTAGGGCGTCCTATTATTGGTGGCCTATCAAAAAATTTAAAAATTTTCTTTTCATTTATTCTCAATATTAGAATGTCATAGCATTATAATTATCATTGACAATTCGACGTCGTGAACAAAGGTTTCATTCATTATAAATTTTGTGTTCGTGTCATTAATTATCGTTTTTACCAAGGTTCTGTGGAACAATTTTATATTCTTTCGATGCGAGTTAACCTCGAGGTCTATACTAAAAACTGATCGTTTCATTCTCCCAATGGCTCTGGTGACTTCGGACTTTTAACTCGCAGAATATTTCTTATAACCAAAGTTATTTTACTATCGCCGTAAACCTACAGCTATAAATTGATATTTTTGGTCGGAACTTCGCCCGGGGCTTTATCGTTTTCCCCTTTCTAAGGATGTATAGGTCAAGATACGGGTTTTTATAAACGTCCATATTTAGAGGATACCGCTTTGGTCTTATAAAATATTATGCAAAATTTTTACATCAAAGACTTTAAGTGCATTTCAATGCTGACTCTATAAATTCCATCGAAAGATCTGACTTCGCTTCGATAACGTTTTTAGGTGCTAGCAACGATTCTACTGTGCTCATATCTTTAAAGAATATCTCCAAATGATAGAAGCAACTTCCGGTTTCGTTTAAAAGACCGCATCTATGAAGTGCTACTTGTATTCCATTGTGTTATAGTGACAAACTTTTCAATGACGTTTCAAAATCTTTATTTATATATTAAAGCTGTTTATTGTTTCTATTGTTATGTCGTATTCTATGTATGTATACAGTAAAAAAAAGTATTTAGTATATAGTATAGACACAAAATTTTTAAAAATGTAATTCAGAACATCATCTATTTAAGACCAACATGCAAGTTTCTTGCTCGTCTAATGCGATGAGTGTTTGTTCTTGAATGAGTGTTTGTATTGTTGTTTTTGAATGAGTGGTAGAATAAAATAATAATAATACAAACAATATTGAATATAGATCGTTTATTATAGTAAGTATATTCTGGGTCATTATTATTTACGACATATCTGTGCTTAGAAATATTTTCTTTTCTTAGAAATATTTTACTGGTAAGAATTAAACATATCTCTGCTTAGAAATATTTTCTTTTCTTTCTTAGAAATATTTTACTGGTAAGAATTAAAAATACAACGTGTATTTACAGGTTATATTATTATGTGTATTACTTTTACAATCTCTTGGACAAATAATACAATAAAAATAATAATACATTGCTCTGTCCAAGACATTGTTATTTCTATTCAATATAGAGTCAACAAGAGTATATAACAAGCGCGAATAAAAGTTTCTCTTCAATATCCAATAATCTCATTGCTTTAAAAAGCTTTTGTATTTCTACTTTAGTTTAATAACAATAAGTATGATAATTTAATAAAGGATGATCTTCGATAATTGAATTGAAATATGTATTTTGTTATACTTAACTGGGAAATTTATAACGAAATTGTTATCAATAATTATCGCATTTCAGAGATAATGAGAGTTTAAAGAGATTTGTTTGGTTGAATGAGGTGGTAAGTCGTCTACATACGTACATAAGCAGAACGTCAGTGCACACAAAACTCAGGTCTGACTTTGTAAAGTGCTAGCAATGGATTTACTTGTCCCTATTACTCTGTAATTATCTTATCTGTGCTATTACAAACAAGAAACATGATGCCCACGGCTACCTTTTACCATCACACCGCTCGCCATCGACATGGAATTCATCCCCACGCTTGAACCTAAGTGGTCTCGGACAGTGTGTTTTCAGAGGAACTTCCCCCTGAGTATTCTTAGATTGTCAACGTCTCTTTATAGAATAATATTCACTGAGAGAATAGCTTTAGATTGTCAAACAAAGTGTGAAACAAAGCGTCAAACCATACACATAAGACTTTAGATTGTGGAATGAATTATCTGTCGAGGTTTTCTCCTGACTACGGCATGGGGTTTTTCAAGAAATTTCAATATTAGGGTTTCTTAAGGCTCGGCAACGTGCACGTAACATCCCTGGTGTTTCAGCGTCCATAGACAACGGTAACCAACCATCAGATAGGCCGTATGCTTGTTTGCCAACATAGTATAAAAAATCATCCGTCTCCATGGCAGGCATTGTAAACTAACGATTATGGTGAACTTCACATTATATTTCGGCGAGCGGGCGAGCCTGTCAGGGCTATAGAACCTAGCGAGGACTGGCGACAACTTTCCATATTCTAATCTTATGTATATAGTGTACACCTCTGATAGTTGCTGAGTTAAACAGCAGTACACCTCTGATAGTTGCTGAGTTACACAGCAGTACACCTCTGGAAATTGCTGAGTCAGTACACAGCAACATCTTCGACGACCGTCACTAATTGCTCCCATATCTTGACCCAGAAGCTTGTCCCAAATAAACATTGACGCATCAGTAAATCTCTATAAGGTATAATGCTGAGGCGTAATGTTTACGAGACTACTTAAAGCTCTTGCTATAACATATTAGTTAGATAAAGAGAACGTGGGGCAATGTTCTGTATTTTATCACTATAAAATACAGACAACACTTTGTTCATGGGTAATTTTCGTAATACAATGCGTAATAGGAAAATGAAGCTGTTTTTTGTTTATCTGCTTATCTTTTTATAAATCACTCATGTATTATCTATATCATCTTTAATTCTTGAAAAACCAAGCATGTTTTTTATAATTAATATTATTCATAGTATATCTATGAATATAATTGACGACCTCGGTGGTCTAGCGGTCTAGCACACCGCTTTACGACCGATGGTCGCGGGTTCGATTCCTCGCACGGCACAAACATTTGTATTCATGAGTATGATTGTTTGTTCGGTCTGGGTGTTTTCTATGTATAATATGTATGCATTTACAAAAAAATATCTATGTATATGTATCAGTTATCTAGTACCTGTTACTCCAGTGAGCTCGTGACCAAGGCTAGTGCAACTTAGTCGAAACCTTGAGAGAGGTAAAAAATATCTTTATCCACAATAAAATCTTTCATGTTAAAACTCGTTTAACTATTAATATTGATATACTGGCATACAGGTGCTCTAATTTATTAAGCATGCAGTACGAGTAAAAAAGGAACAAACAGAAAACTATATTTCATGTAATTTAATCATTTTTATTACCTCTCCTCTGCAGACAATGGCGGGAAGGATTGTTGGTAAAGTAATATGTTTAGATGTGTTGTCTCCAGTGAATGCTGACGAAAAAATATTCAAGGCTGTATAAATAATAAAGTACCAGCAGGCACTTTTTGAGATTATTTACTACTCTGGTTTGTTCATTTTATAGATGGAAATCTTAAATTAGTATACTCTAGTCCTGTCAAATTCCGTTACTCATCCATCGTTACATAGTATAAAACAAAGTCGCGGTCGCTGTCTGTCCGTTGCTATGTCTTTAAAACTACGCAAAGGATTTTGAAACGGTTATTTTAATATATAGAGTGACTCAAGAGGAAGGTTTATATATTGTAGTGTATTGAATGAAAGACGGTCTATCGCTAACTGGTTTATTAAGATAAAAGTACAAGTGTATTTATTATGTACCCGCGACATAAGAAATAACCCAAATACCCGCATCAAATACTACATTTTTCTCGCCTTAAATCTTTAAATTATATACTAACTTATTTCTATAATAAACAAACATCTTAAGGAGTAATAACATGCTAATTATGACAAGTGTACTTTTACATTATTACAAACTTATGTATCACATTATTATTTTTATGTATATTATAATATAACATTTTAACGCTAAAACAACATCATTTTTTTCTTGGCCGTAAGGTCATACCGTGAGTAACAGCATCAATTTGATATTTACCAATTGCTCTATCATTATCTGTGTTTGCTATCGGCTGTGCTATCGGTATGGACTGCTGCGGATCGTACTCGCTCTCTGACTGATCGATATCTTTAGATGGGGAGACACTGGGACTGTCATTATTAGTTTTACTTAAAGGTATAGACCAACTATCCTCTTTATTGTAATATTCCATAATAGATGCATCATGATTACGTGGCAAATCCTTTAGAACACCAGGGTCGCTATTGCTATTAGGTAGAGAATGTCTAGACTTTCTAACATTTTTACCTATAATTTGATCAATATGGCGTTTGTGTAAATGATCATCTTTTGTTTTGACAACATAAGAAACGGGGCCTGTTTTCTCTATCACAGTAGCATCCTTCCATTTAATATCTTTATTACCATAATTCCGTACTAACACCGACTCCCCAGGAAGTACTTCCCGCAAAACTCTGTCGCGACCTGTCGCCTGCCGATTTTGCCGTGCCTGAACTAAGTCTTTGTTAACCGGCCTCAATAAATCCAGTCTACCTCTCAATCTATGTCCCAACAATGCTAACGAAGGCTCCTTTTGTGTCGTACAGTGCTCCGTGTTTCGATACGTAAATAAAAATTTACATAACGCGGTATCATAGTCTTCCCGCTCCATAGTCGCCTTTCTAAGTACCTGTTTAACTAATTTTACAGCATTTTCAGCTGCTCCATTGCTAGACGGATGATATGGAGCTACTAATATACGCTTAATACCGTTCCTGTTTAAATAATTTAGATATTCTGCGGATGAAAATGGAGGTCCATTGTCACTCACGATGGACTTTGGAAGACCGAAACGTGCAAAAATCTTACGCAAGCTGTGTATAACCGCGGCTGCTGAAGTGCTTGAAACGTTGTCCACTTCAAGCCACTTAGAATGAGCGTCAATGATAACTAAGTAATACTTATTGCGAAATGGTCCCAAGAAATCAATATTAAGGCGTTCCCAAGGTTCTGTGGGCCAGGCCCACGAATGTAAGGGCGCTGGGGGAGGTTGATCTCGCTGTGAAGCACATGCTGAACATTCACGACACACACGTTCTATGTCCGCGTCCAGTCCCTCCCACCATAAGTAGTTTCTAGCTAATTGCTTCATTTTTACCACACCTATATGTCCAGAATGTAATTCATTCAGTACTGTTGCTCGTAAACTGCTCGGTATAACCACCCGATATCCCCAAACCAAACAGCCATGTTCTAAAAACAAACTGTCCTTTTTAGAAAAATATATTTTATCATTAACAATTTGTAAACTGTCTGGCCAACCAAATTTAACAAATCCTATAATTCTATTTAATTGTGTATCAGTTCTCGTATTTTTTTTTATCTGATTAAATGTAACTGGTAATTTATCTTCTACAAAATTCAAATAACTATAACAATCCTGCTCATAAACCTGTTTTGTATATTCTAAAGGTAAACGAGACAGCGCGTCGGCAACACAGTTTTTATTCGATGGTACAAACTCAATATCAAAATTGTACGCCGCTAACCGTACAGCATATCTTTGTAAACGACTCGCTGCTGTTTGCGGTATACCTTTATTTTTACCGAATATGTAACTGAGAGCACGGTGGTCACTACGTATAATAAAACGTCTGCCATAAATGTACTGGTGGTGCTTCGTAACACCGAAAACAATCGCCAGCGCCTCCTTATCTATTTGTGAGTAGTTACGTTCCGCTTCGTTGAGCGTACGCGAGGCACAGCTGATCGGCCGCTCGGAGCCATCGGTATACTTGTGTGCGAGTACCGCGCCCAGTCCATACGCGCTGCTGTCTACCGACAACACGAGTGGTAACTTAGCATTGTAATGCGCCAACACAGGACTTTTACTTAATGTATTTTTAATTTCCATAAATGCCTGTTCACACTGATCGCTCCAATGCCACTTGATATTTTTTTTTAATAATGTATACAATGGATGCAATATATCACTAATGTTTGCACAAAATTTAGCATAAAAATTTACTAAACCTAAAAAACTTTTTAGTTGCGTAACGTTTTTAGGGGTGGGCGCTGAAAATATAGCTTCTATTTTTTTTTTATCTGTATGAAGGCCTGCCTTATCGATACGATAGCCTAGATAGGTGACACTAGATTGAAAAAACTCGCATTTAGACCAATTTACATGTAACCCGGCATCTTTTAATCTAGATAATACAGCTCTCAGATTTTTAAGATGCGTTACCCTATCTACTCCTGTCACACAAATGTCGTCTTGGAATGCTACCACTGAGGACAATCCACTCAAGATTTCTTCAATTAATTTTTGGAAATTTTCTGGTATACACTTTAAACCAAAGGGTACTCTTTTGTAAACGAAAGTCCCTATATGTGTTGTGATTGCTGTCATGGGCTGTGACTCCTCAGACAAAAGTGCCTGCTGATAGGCATCAGATAAATCTAATTTTGAATACTGCTCACCACCCGCTAGGTTAGCAAATATATCTTCAATGCGCGGAAGCGGGTAATGAAAATCTTTTAACAGTGGATTTAGAGTGATTTTGTAATCACCACATATACGGATACTACCATTTTTTTTTACAATGGGGACAATAGGTGTCCCGTAATCCGAACGTTCTACTTTATAAATAACGTCATCCCGCTGTAATCGTTCTAGTTCTCGTTCCACTGGCTCGCGTAAAGCAAGCGGCAGGGGACGCGCCTTAACAAACACGGGCGTCTTATCAGTTAAATGTAATTGTATGCAAGATTTATTATAGGTTCCCAACCCATCAGCAAATACTTCGGGAAATTCAACACGTAGCATTTTAACAATACTATTATGATTGACTTCAGTTATATTATTATGACATTCTAATGTATTTAGCTGTAAGCGTCTTATCCATGTTCGACCAAGCAACGGGGGACCGCCATTTTCGAATACAAATAGTTGCAACTTATCTGAAAATGTGTCATGGATAACATTCACTAAAATGTAGCCTAAGGGTTTGATTATATTACCTGTGTACGATTTTAATCTAAGAGATTGATTTATTAATGTAAGATGTGAAAACAACTTATCATAACATACCTTCGAAATCGCCGATATTTTACTACCTGTGTCAATCTCGAACTTAATTTTACAATTTTCAACCTTAACGCTGACATAATAAGGTGCATCTTTGCCACTACAAGATAAATTAAAAAAATCCAAATCAATCTCAGAGTCTGAATTAGATTCATTTAAAAAAAACTGACTTTTATCTCTTTGCGAATGCTTACACACTGACTTCAAGTGTCCTTTTTCACCACACCGATCACATCTATACATTTTAAATCGACACTTTGCCGCTGCATGGCCATCCCTGCCACAACGCGGACACGGTCCCGCGCGCCGCGTGTCGCCCCGGTGGAGGTCGCCGCCGCCGCCGAAAATTAAATTATAAATTTTGAAGGTATTCGTTTATTGTCTCGCCCTGTCCCTGCTTTCGTTGCCGAAATACGTGTCTTTCTGCGATCTCCGACCTCTGTGGCTCCAGATGTTCCTTTACTATGCGCTCGAGTTCCTCGAATGTCTTCATCTCCGGTAGGTCAGGCGCACACAAGTCACACATGAGCTCATAACACTCCACACCAACATGAGTTACTAAAGTCGCCACGTGTAACTCTGTTGCAATGCCGTTTAATGTCATATATTGTCTTATTCTTCTACAATAGGCATCCCAATTATGACTGCCTATTTCGAAACTTTCTATTTTTCCTAACGGCATAATTACACTGGTAAATTACTGTACAATTTTCTAAATTTATAAAGTAAACTAGTTCGTAAAACGACTGCGCCAATGTAGTGTATTGAATGAAAGACGGTCTATCGCTAACTGGTTTATTAAGATAAAAGTACAAGTGTATTTATTATGTACCCGCGACATAAGAAATAACCCAAATACCCGCATCAAATACTACATATATATAACCACCAACCTATTATAAATACACCATTAGAATCACTCTATCTATTAAAAAAATACCGCTTCAAATTCCATTGCGTAGTTCCTAAGATTTAAGCATACATAGGGACGGACAGACAGGGACAGCGGCTTTGTTTTGTACTATGTAGTGCTACATGTACAGTTGTACACCTATGCAAATTTGGGGTAGCTAGTATTAAGTAATATAAACATTATATGTACTAATCTATACTCATATTCTGAAACTTAAGAGATAGTTTCTAAGATCTTCTCTCAGAACCTTTATTTAAATCTCTTTTAAATGAATTTAAAACATCTGTTAAATCATATTTATTGAACAAAGCCTATTATTACTCACTGAACTGATTACTGCGTGACAATTATTGGTCACGCACGTGATTTTAATTTTATGTTAGACATAGACATATATACATACAGTACAGTGTTAATAAAGTGGCTTGAAAAAATAAAACAATTGTTTTCTTTTCAATTGAATCTGAGTACTGGACGGTAGGGATAAAATATTAATTAACACAAAAAACGTGACATTCATAAGCTATTAAAGTGTCCATGCCTGAATAAATGATTTTTTTTTCTATATGTAATTTTTTTCTTGTTGATATTAAATCTTTTTTTTGTTTCTATTATATTTATAAACTGTAAATAAATAGTTTTTATTTATAATCTGTCTTTATTAAAAGTATAGATATGCTATTATACATAATTGATAAAATCCAAAATACATGTGTAGCGAGTTCAATTCTGGCGATAGAACAAGAATTGTTAAAAGTAGGCATTAGGTTACTTGTTATTCAATACAAGGCGGTGTAATCCGACGATATTGTAATGTAAACAATGTGTCATACAATGTTTGATTATGAAATTGGTTGTCCTAATTTTTCGCTATATTACTTTATATATTTAGTAATACTTATGTATATTTTCTGTAAATACATATATAATCATCATCATCACCAAGAAAATATCCAGGCTGATGAACACCTTGTTGAACCCACGACCATAAAAAAGGGAGTTTCTAAAACGCGAGACTACCGTGGAGGTCAGCCCGTCATAAAACATCGCAATGGCTCCAGTTAGCTTTTGGCGTATTGTATGTCGACTTATCTACCCGTAGACTAATGGTAGACTGCTACACCATCGAGATCGGTGTATTGTATTGTGTCTGATGCATGAGTAAGCTGTGTGAATACTATACATTAAGATTGCATGAACACCTAGTAATAAATAATAATAATATATTTGATTTTCTAAACAAAAACATACATAATATAAAGTGATCCAGAGGCTAGTATTTAATAATAATAGGTTTCTCTCCCTGGGGCCTTGACCCCGGCCGACTGTGCCTCTGCCGGGGGTATGTTGCTATCTCCTCTCCTTAAGAGGGGAGATGAGAATTTTTGTAAAATAATAATCTCAGGACAATTCACACAGCGCCATCTAAACCTAGGTTAAGCTAGCTAAAGCTTGTGTTATGGGCACTAGATAGCTGATACAAATACATAGATATTTTTTGTAAATACATACATATTATACTTGTATAGAAAACACCCAGACGAAAACAAACAATAATACTCATGAATACAAATGTTTGTGCCGTGCGAGGAATCGAACCCGCGACCATCGGACGTAAAGCGGTGTGCTAAACCGCTAGACTACCGAGCCTGTAATGCTATCTAATAATCACTCTTGTCTCTAGTACTTGTATATTATACAGTTAATTTGGAAATTGGTTTTGTTTATTCGGTGTTAGGTATATATAATGTAATGTCTGAAAATACGTACATAATTTCTATAGAAATCACCCAGTAGGCTGTGTATTGTACATTAAGCTTGCATGAACACCTAGTATATCATCGTACAGACTTCAATAAACATGTATTCTGTCCTATAAAATGAATCCACGGTGTAAAATATTTAAAAGAGCACCAGTACGTGCCCTAAATGAAAGGATCAACTTCCGTATGTAATTACAAGACATTATACGTGTTGTGGCATTAATATGCGACACAGTGTGATATGTCTGAATGTCTGTCATGTTCCCACGAAGGGATACCTAATCATAAAGAATTCAACAAGACGACAAATTGCTAATTGGCCTTTATCGCGGAGGATTGAGTATGTACATAAATAAGTAAAATATTCGTAAATACATGTATATAGAAAACATCCAGACCGATACAAACAATCATACTCATGAATACAAATGTTTGCATCGTGGAAGGAATCTAACCCGCAACCATCGGAACTAAACCATTAGACCACCGAGGCCTACGTAGGTAAAATATTAATAATAAAAAGTTATGTATGTATAATAAAATTAATTTCTATTTTTTTGACATAGGTGTAGTAATATAGACTATTTTGACATTGGTGTACTACATACTACATGCACAGACTATATTTTTAATCTTATATATATACATATACAATTTAATATTCTAGTCTAGCTATTCAAAGAGGGACGCTGCCAGTATCTTCGGAACGTTGCCTAAAGGGACCCCTTTTAATAATATATTTTAGTCATCATATTATATTTTTTTTTAAGCTTTTTAATTTTAGGTTCTTAGTTGTACAATTAGGTTATGTAAATACTAGTAATAAATTTAATTTGAATTTGAATATGGTATATATTCAAATTACTATTTAATATTAAAATGATTGGAGCAGAGTTAGTTATTAACAGTTTTGTTGTAGGTATATTCTGAATTTAAACTTTCTGGAACTTCTGAACTTTGTTAAAATCATGTTGAAGGAAATGCTTGACAATCCATATCTCATTGAATATATTCTAATCCAAAGAAGCAGGTGACGAGCACTAACTTTCGGATTAATATTGGTTTGTTATCGGTGTTTGCATCCCTGAAAAATCAGATCTCTGTTACATTAAAATTTAAACTTAAGAAATTGCTATTAAAAAATCAAATATCCACTATGGAACTATCTTGTTTTACTTATTTAGCTATGTATGTAAAATTTAACAGAACAAACACATATTTACATATATATATATATTTTAATTCATTACATAAAACCTACGTTATTCTTTCTTCTCTTTCTATATAAAATGTTACTTGCTGTTGGCCAGATTCGAACTTATGGAAAGTCGGATTAGACAACCACTGAGCCAAGACAATAATGAGAGTAGGTTCGTAATTCCTTCTATTTTCTTTTTCATGGATGTTTTACAACACGTAATGGAAGCAGATTGTTTCTTTGAGATATATTTCGTCTAACGGAATGTGATAAAAAAATAAATGGCTTTTGGATAAGGATCTTTTTGGTTGATCATCGTGTTTTGTTGTAAGCGACACCAAAATAGTCTAGACAACAGTAAACTCGTCAACGTTCTGGCGGGGGACGATCTTTCTCGGAGTCTACACTATCTGTGTACCTAATTACTTTTAAACGGGTTTAGTAGTTTTGACGTGAAAGCGAGACAGACAGACAGACAGATAGAGTTACTTTCACATTTATAATAAGAATTGATTCCATAGCATGTCAGAAATTTCTCAACTTAAAATAAATGTACTTCAATTTATTTTACAGTTTATCTCAAGTTTCTGGTAGAACTAATATATGTTGATTAAGTGAAACTATCACTGTAAAACCACATTTAACCAATAAATTTCATTTCATTTCATTTTATTAGTTAATTTTTTTTTTATTAATATTTTAGGGCTCTGGATACAAGTCCTTTTTAGCCGAACATAAAGTACAAAAACTTAAAACCAAACAGTTTCTTCATAGTGTTGGAAAAAAAATTATGTAAAGTCTTGATTAGTACAGTAATTTGTGATCAGTGTTACCACATAATAATAATAATCGACACAGGCAACTT